CAGCCAACGTAAAATACACTTCCGTGTGTGTTTTCTTCCTCGTATTATGTACTGCAGGGACGTCCATGCTGTACTGCTGACCTTCAGCATGAAATGAAGAGTGTCTGATGCCTCTGGTGTGTTTGGAGGGGCTTTCTCTTTTCCGAAGATGGACAGCAATGCATTATTGATTACAAAATACTCCTGCAATGCTATTTCACCTTTCAAGCACAGCTGACTGTGAGTTGAGCTTTATTTTAGAGCGGCTCAGATTTAGTTTGCCTCAATGTGTGCACCTATTCACAGTGGCTGTTTTGTTTTTATAATGCTTTCTCCCTCCTTCCCCCCCCCCTCTCTCCTTCTAAAGCCCAGGGGGAGGCTAAATGGTGGATATGCAGAAACAACTCCCTTATCTCCACATCCCTCTGCACAGCAGGCTGACTGAGAATTGCACAAGACAAAAGACAAAGGTGGGCAGAGAGACAAACCAATGTGCAACAAAGGGGGGGTGAAACGCAGTCTATTGGTTATCACATCTAACAACATGTGTGTGAGTTTATTTTGAGCTCAATATGTGTGTGAAAACAACAGTTGCTACTGTACACATCTGTATACATGCATATAGTATTGGAAATTAGGAAAATGTAAATATAATACTATTTTACACTGGACTTTCATTTGCTGATATATTCTCACACAAGTGCTGATCGCAACATCTCATTGTAAATCTCAATTAATTTTATGGTAATTAATATAATTAATATGTTTTCAGTCACTGACTGTGAAATGTTACATGTTCATTTTGCTGAATTATTTGTATTAATAGTCGATGTTTGCATAAGGGCTCATCTTGTTTTTCTTTGTTTTTCTTTGTTTTCATAGTAAAACATAAAAGAATCCTCTGCATGGTCCAAAGCTTCTTTCCAAAGCAGAGAGCTGGCCCTACCTCTCCCGGTCCCCCGTTGAGGATGGTCACAGGGGAGGATGCCCATGGCGACCGCGGCTGTCAGTTGCTGTTTCCACGATGCCGAAGAATGATTGGTTTCATGGATTTGGACAGTGCTCTCTGACAGCGCGGGAGGTGGGGGAGACGCTGCCACACCTGGGAGAAGAAGCGCTGGCAGGATGTGAAATGTTACTGAACAAGGTCATTCCAAGGGTCATCGTTAGACCTGTCACTCGTCACCCCACACACACACACACACACACACTATTGAGGAATTTACAGCCTGGGCCTCGTGCTTCTTATGGAGAATATTAGGTGGGAATTTATCCTTTGTTTGAGATGGGAGTCTGACTTTGTCTTTGTCTGCCTCAGCTGGTGAATCTTCAGACAACAAAGTCCTGGTTTGAAAATGAAAACATCCGAGTTGAAATCTGCAGATGCACCCTTCAGTCAATGCATGTTTCTGTTCAAATACTTTGATGTCAATGCATTTAAATCAAAGCTTTTGTTATTGCTGACAAATAAAGAAATAAATCTTTAATAATTGCCCGGGAGTTTTTCATTAGATACCTCCTATGCAAACAGGAACCACATTTTCCAGTCTGACAGCCTAGTCTAAAAAAAAAGAAAAGTCAGCCAGTATCATTGATGCCCGTGTTGTTGTTGGTGTTGAGGCTTGTTAGCATGAATGACAGGGCGAGGTATAGGACACAGCCAACTGCGGCTCTCTCTCACTCTCTTCCCCCTCTCAGCATGTTTTCCACAACATGAGTTTAGCATGTCTCTGAGAGAGGTGGGCTTCCTGACAATCTCCCTCCCAGAGCCCATGACAATTTTAATGATTGATCACTCCCCTCTTGGCTGCGGTGAGAGGAAAGGGAGCAGACCACAGCGCAAAATAAAAAAAAGGAGAGGGAGGAAAGAGGGGCGTGGACAATCCCACAAGGTCAGAGAGATGTCCAGTCTTTTGTTTTCCGTGGTGAGATCAGTGGCCTGTGCAGCCGCGAGGGGGGACAAGCAGAGTAACTGGCGGCCTGGCAGGAACAGATGTTCTTACACAATGAACATGCTCTTGGTTGGTTGCTTGTTCGCTAAAAGTCAAGGGACTGACTTCCCCTTTTTGGAAACAAAGGCTCTCCACCTGTACGTATTTCTTGTTGAAAAATGTTGCTGATGTAGTCAACATCACATATGATTTACGTCTCGCTAAAGATACATCCATGCAACAGATGGATGTCTATTTATGTGCACGATGATGTGTTAAAGTTGCACATAATCCTGTTGTGTTTGTGTTGGTTAAACTTTTTCTCACTGAAAAATGTTGCGATTTGGTGGCACCATATTTCTTTGTCCAGTCAAGGTCACTTTTCTTTAAAGATCTTTTTTTACTTGACACTTCTTACCACTGTTTATACTACACACACTACTACATACTTTACAGGCAGCAACTATAGGGCACATGTGCTATGTTTAGCACGTGCTCTGAATGGAATACCTGAGGTCAATTATCTACTAGCTCGGAAAACCATTGTACCACCAGCAGTTCAAATTACAGATGTGCGAACGTGAAAAGGTTGATGTGGTTGCATAATAAAAAGGAAATGTATATACTATGCATCCAACATAGCTACTGACACTAGCATGAATATTTAGTTGTGATCCGTCAACTGCAACATAAAAGCTGCAATTAGCAATGAGTGAATGATAATCATTTGCTCCATGGAGCATGCAGATACTATAGCTCATGTAAAAAAAATGTAATCTTTTTTTAGGACACATGGTATCAGGCTGGCCAGGGCCTCAAAATAAAAAACTTCTCCATCGCCTTCTCCTCCAATGTCGGACCAATAGACAACATCTTTATACTTCTTCCCACTATCTGTAATAGAAGCCAAAATATCTCAGATAGTTACTCTCTCATCTTGGACATTTGGAGCCAGCGGAGTAGTGATTACGGAGTGAAGCCACAGTTTTGAGGTTCCAATGATACACGACTAATAATGAGTCAGTCCAAACTGTCAATCAAGACATCTCACACCGTTTTTTATAGAGTCATTAAATAATTAAAACCAGGGTTTGTGACCTACAACGCAGCCAGCCACTAGGAGGCCATCAAGACACTTTTGTTTTTTGTGGATCAGTCATTCGTTTTGGTTTTTATATACAGACTACTTTAGCTTGTTCAGTAAATATTTCTCTATTGAGATAAACATTAACACAAATGACTTTCTTTTTCTAAGCACTGACCCAGTGGAACACTGTGGGATTTATTGTTTTTAGCCACTAGGATAATCGAAATCAATTAAGCAACCATAATAAATAAGCACTGTGTTTTGGTTTCAATCAGTCCAGATATCCATACTCTGTAATTTTCCCTTCTTTTTAAAAAATATGCTGCCATGTGTTCAGCATTCAAATGACTTCCAATCCAGAGGAGGTGTGAGTGAAACACATTCTTTTGAGCAGCTGAGATCAGTATCACACACACTCCCAAACAGGGCCAATCTCATTTCACCAGCACAGTCAGTTGTTGGCATCTGTGGGATTATTGGCCCATAAATGACCAAAGCCATTCATAACTCATTGCCTCCCTCTGCTGGTGACAGTAAAGGTATTTTACAACGTGCCTCTAACACCCTGCTGGAAAATCAATACAATCTTGTGCAAGGCACTGGGGTTGTGAGTTTCAAACTAACATATCACACTTTATGATGGGTTAATGTCTGATACAACTGAGGTACTTAAACTATGTCATGGATGAGTTTATGGTCACCTTATCTTACAGCATTTTATGATATTTGTATTTCAAATGGATACTGAGTTTCATATATGTTGTGTTTTCTTTTCAAATACATTTACGGCATTTGCAGTGTTGTGTTTTAACTCTCTAGTTACTTTCGGAAAATAATTTGATTATTCTTTAAAATGTCTCATTATTCCTGTTTTACTGCATCACATCAACCTTAACATTCCTGATTAATGGATCAAATGTGGTGTAAGTGAGGGAAGCTTGTTCCATTGTCTTTGGGAATGCCCCATTCAATACTGGAATGAGAAAATAACACATCTATTGCCACAGAGGAGAAGCTTCCTGTGTCCTTAACTTTGTATTTTGGAATGTGTTCCAGCTAGCTGTGAGCTAAATATTTTGTCTGCTTGAACCTACACTTACAATTGCTCTGTCATTGAAGTCAGTTTATAGACCAAACTAAGCAATATATATATTCATTCATTGTTATTTGTTTGAGTACTGCTCAACAGCATAAATGTGCCTCACTTCCTTTATGTTCACAGTGCCTCCAGCTGTCTAAATGTGACCTGGTTGCTGATGTGCTTTGTTATGTTAAAGTCATAGTTCTCCCAAAAAGGAAAATTCCCTCATTATCTACCCACCACTATGCTGATGGAGGAGTTTTGGAGTCTCAGGGGTAAACAGTGTTTCAGCCAAATCCAATACAATTGAAGTAAAAAAAAACACAACATGCCCCCATGCAATACTGGTTTAAATTGCTCTCTTATGCCTTGTATGAATAGTGTAGTATAATAAAGATTTATTGAGGAGTATACAGGCCAGGTGATGAAGCGCTTTACCAGTAGAGCTGTTTAATCTCAGTTATTGATGTTTTAGTGGAGTGTATATCAGACAGTTTGTTTGACTCATATTAACACAACACACACAAACTGGGGCTTTCCTGGCTCCTGGGTTTTTACAGTAGAGCTGAAAGCTACAGGTTAGATAGTTACAGGTTGCATCCGAATTATTCGGAATTATTCCTCACTGAAATATATCTGTATTCATGCATGCTCCTGATTGAACCTTTTCTTTTAAAGCATTTATAATGAATTCAACAAAAAAATAATAACAGAGATAACTCAGTGCTCAGTGTGAAGCTGACCTGCACACATGCAGACAGATCGCCATGAGCCCGTGTTTGCGTGAACCTGTGGCTGCATGTACAGTGAACCCGACGGTAGATGTCTCCCTACTCCGTGCAGCGGTGCGGCTCCTCGGGTGCGCTGTCTGCGCTGTGCACAAATGACCGAATCGCCATTTTGAAAAGCGAAGCGTTCACAGCACACCCGCCCTGACTACTGGAACTATGCCGCGGGGCCGGCCTCGCAAACTGAGAGTTAAAAGCAGCGACGGAACAGGTAACAAGTAGCAAAAGGCAAAGAATAAAAAATACAGATTGTGGGCTATCCAAATAACCCGCTATTAATTTGTCAAACATCTCCGCCGCGATTATAATGACACTTGAATGTAGTGTATATAGTCCCCGGATATAGTATTGCGGGTGGGCTTTGCTTTGTGCGGCGAAGGAGTGATTGAGGCGGAATGATATTAATAACATGTCGGTGCCTCCTCTTATTGGCTTCCAGTCTAAATTGGTGTCCGCGAGGGGAAGAGCTCCGCCGCCGCTAACCGTGGCTCGGGTGCCCCGGTCACCGCCAATGTGTGTTTATTGCTTATTTGTCGTTAGCTTGTTGTTGCTAACTAGCTCGCTTTGCTACCGTTAGCCTCGCTGCTAACTCTCCGTAACGTAGCTCGGCGTTGCTCTGGTCCCGGTGAGGCAGTGGATGGAGGCTGTCCAGCTGCCGGAGGAGCAGAGATGTGTGTGTGTGTGTGTGTGTGTGTGTGTGTGTTCACCACAAACTGTCACGAAACGACCTAACACAAACGTGACATGTGTCTCCGCGGTGGTTTCGGTTTGCTAGCACATCGATGCTATCGCAGGGATACAGTGATCCGTCAGCTGGATGAGTGAAACTGGAAGTTGCGATTCCTCTGAAGCTGATGAGCAAGTCATCACAATGTCAGATCCCACAGGAATGATTCCACCTGCGATCCGTGTCATGTGGACCCAGTACCTGCTGGTGTTTGAGACTGGCACAGCCGCGATGGGTGTGCGAGCTGTTGGGCTTACTTGTATTTAAAGTAATAGCAGTGACACCCCAACAGGTTTACTTGTAAACACGATGGCAAACGATCTCAATCAAATTGTTCATCCTTCAATATTAAATGTACTGGTTCTTTTCTGTAAGTGTAAGATAAGAGTGAGGGTAAAGGACAGAATAGTGTCTGTCACAGGGCTGAGTGGACAACATTTCACAAATGATCCTGATAAATGTCACATTTTTGGCTTTAAACTCTTCTTGATGGGCATAAAAATGACAAACACCTGAGTTTTAACAATAAAACCAACTGTTATTATATCTCCTCACTGTACTTCCACAATGCAAAAGCAATATATTTCTATACACATGTATATATCGCTTTTATATTGCAAGTGATGAAAATTATATCACAATGATTTTTGTTTTATTGCCCAGCCTTGTTTTTCGTTAACCCTCAAGATGAAATAATCTTTTTCTTCCAAACCCACACGATGAACACAAACCCCATTCTTCAGGGTCCTGCTGTTAAATACACACTAATATATCATCATTAGTTTACATTAAAAGTCTGGTGTTTTATTTTATACTGACAGATGAAATGAACATTACATTATTTTACATAAACAATTAAATGTAAAATAGGTAATGTTGGAAACACTGTTAGAAAGCTAATTTGATAATATAATTAAGGGCTGGGCAATAAAACAATATCAATGAATCAAACAAAATTAAGTCTAATATTTATCAATATAATTATTATGCAATGTGCAAGTGAGGAGGTGTAACACAAGTGATCTACTTCAGATTTGTAGAATGTTGTTTGTCGTTCTCTGCTCATAAAGAAGAGTTTAAAACCACAACCATCACTCAGGAACAAAAATCAGTCTTTAAACTTTAAAGAAATGATCATTTAAATATTTTCATGATGTCAATATCGACTTACATGAATGTTTTTTATTTTGAAGTAATTTATGGCCATGTCATCCAGTACTTCACTACCATCATCAATAGTCTTGATTATTAGCATGTTTGCCTTCCATTGCTAACCTACTTAATCTGAAAACTAACCACTTCCAAGAAATACTGAATAAATAAAATATATATGAAGCTATAAAAAATATTCAATACAGATACTAGGTTATAGTATGTCCTTATTATGCAACCACATCAACATCTACCACAAGAGAGGACTGTCATAATGATGTAGTGTATACAAACTCTGTTCAGGTGAAAACATCTGGTGTTAAATGTGTGTTCACGTCACTGAACACAGCATCTGTGCAGTTGGAGATGTTCTCTGTCCTATTAACTTCAAACTACTTGATATTTTCTCCACTGTGCTTCTCGTCAGATGCCGATCCCAGTGAAAGTAAGGCGGAAAGTTACTGTGATGGAGAGCTCAAGGACAAGAAGTGCACAATATGCTGTCATGTCGTCACCACTGACAGCCAGCTGCAGAAGCATCTCCGTGAGCATGAGAGCAACGATAAGGTAAATGAAGAAAACGGGTAGCCGTTACAAGAAAGTGAACGCAAAACTGTTTTTACAAAATCGGCGGGGCATGTTTGCTCTCTGTCATCTGCACAATTTATATTTGTATGATTCTTCACATTCAGATACTGTACGTCTCAGCAGAGCTAACTCTCACAGCTATTTGTAAAGTAGCTTTACCCAGTAGAACCACACTGTTGTTATGACTGCACTGGAGATTTTAACGCAATAAATAGTGCTTTGACAATGTAATTAAATATCTACTGAGTCTGCTGAGCAATGCATAGTATTTATTGAGCCTAATGGAATTTACATTGATTACATCAAGATCCTGAATTGCCCCATAGAACAACAAAAAAAGTGTTGCTAATAGATGCACTGTATGAATGTGTGTGTGAATGGGTGAATGGCAAACTGTAGTGTAAAGCACTTTGAGTGGTCATCAAGACTAGAAAAGCGCTATATAAATACAACCATTTACCATTTACATTGCTGCAAACAGTATCAATGAACAACGCTGTCAAAGTTGACCTGCAGTTGGTTTGAGTAGGCTAATATTTGATGTGCCTATTTACCAGAGAGTTCAATGTGATGTCTTCATACCAGCCGGGCACCACAGGGCAGAGCTGAGCAACTGAGAGATGTGATGGTGGTGTGAGGCAGCATTCACATCCTTTCTGATGCAGTGAGCTTCATCTGTGAGGTTGTGGACCTGTTATAAGATTACCCCCCTTTTAGGAGCAGAGGAAACTCTCTCTGACCGTCGTGGTGAAAGCTGTAGCAGAGCGACAGGTTGAGATCTGGAGCGAGCTAGTGGCTCACTGTCAAAGGTGGAGGTGTCCTGGATTTTTCAGCTCAGATGATTATTCCCAATGTGGAATTTAAAATCTGCTGGAGATGCTGTTATTTAGCACAGGTCTAGAGTAAGTCTGCCAGTCAGTGAACGTGGTGCAACCAGCAGCAAGGTGCACATTTCTCCTGTATGTTCTTCAGGGCACATCTTGGGTAATTAACTCACACTTATTTGCATAATTACATTAGAGCCCCACAATAATTGCCACATGTTTAAGGTAACCAGGGTGATAACTAATATTGAAAATGTAAATGAGTTGATTGAATAAACTACTGCAAAATAAGACCTGATGCAGAGATGTTAAGTCGTGTCACGTGTATGTCTGAAAAGCAAAGGAGCACAAAAGCGCATTTTCTCTGCTCCTGTCGTTTGATTAGTGGAAACTGATGTGGAACTGCAATGGGCACAATCTGATGAATGAAAAAAATCAATATGGGAGGTTTTTGTTAGCTCTCAATAAGATTAATTACAATATGTGAATAGCTTCTTTGGTGCGAATACACTAGACTCACATGGTTACATTTCTGCTCATGTTTTGTTGATGTAGAGAAGTCGCAGCAGACCTCAAAACTGTAATTTTGCTGAAAGGGGAGAAGTTACTCAACCACCCCCACAGCCCTGGCTGTGGTGGCCAATAACCGTCACGGCTGCAGTCTGTTGCAGTGGTCACTCACCAGTAATTGATTAAATTCAGCGGCTGTTTGTATGAATTTTCCTTCCCTCTTACTACATTTTATTTCTTCCATAGGTAAATCCTTCATAGATGTGGGGGTGTAAATAATTCTCAAGTAGAAGTCTCTCTCGCAACCGCTCATTGTTCCTCCTTGGCTTGGTGCCTCTCTCTCTTTGTCCTTGTTCGCTCTTCTTATGTATTCTCTGACTCAAACCCAGACTGAGACAACATTTTTTTGCCTTTTCTTGATTAAGAAAAAAGCACTTTAAATCTGCTTTCAGAACTGAACTTTAGAGGTGCTCTCGAGAGTCTTCAGAGGAAGTGTATATGTGAATGCAAATGTGTGAAAGCCACAGTTTCTGCGTACTCTCATCTGGCCCCCTTGTATAATTCTGCAGAAAGTCCGGTGGAGTCGTTGTGGGGGGGGTTGATGATGCTTTTAACACGCCACAGACGCAAAAATGAAAAAAAAGAATACAGTCATCTCTAATAATAACAGTAACAGTCAATCTTTTTTAATGCACTTTCTAAATAAAAACAGAGTTCATGTAGGTCTGACTGATTGTATTCATTGATAAAAAAAAAAAGCAGCCCATGCAGTTATATAGAAAATTGTGGATGTGACACATTGAAATGCGTCTTGATGCATCAGTGGATTGTTGTAACTAGAATCATTGACCGCTGAAACCTAATCGAATCGTGAGGCTTTGCAGTTATTAATTCATGATTGAATAGTGACCCTTTAGTGTTGGAGTGCATCCTCTTCTCTCTATGTACAAGTTCTATATAACTTCAGCAACTCCTTTTTAGATCCACCTACAGTCACTAATATCAACTTATCACTATAAATGTCACATTATTATTTCTGTCAAATTTGTCAAACATTTTACAGATCTGAGGTAGATCAATTATGTGTTAAATCTCTTCACTGTATTATATAGACATATACTGATCTGTTGTAATAATGCCGTTGAAGAAAATCATATTGTGATAACTGTTGCTGTGTTATTGCCCAACCCTACCACATACCCTCGCATGCTGTCTCGCTGTGCCTCTAACTCAACTATAGGAGCTATAGGTTCTTCACTCCATGCTATCAACAAGTATGTTAGAGAACGTCATTTCCCTGGTATCCTCTCTTGACCACTTTCTTTGGCATGAAAATACGACAGTGAGACCCTGCCTGCCTCACCTCATTTGCAGCTGCACCTGCAGTCGTGGGCTGTTTCAATTTCAAGGCCACTGTCTTCACTTCCACCGGCACTTTCTCCAGGCTGAAGAGCAGGAGCCTCAGGGGCTGCCACTCTGAGTCAGACTCACTGGTGTCAGTGTGTTGCTCACGACCAACTCATCTACTCTGAAATTCAGCTCCTCCAATAGAAAAAGATTTAAAGCTATTTCTGCCTCATGGAACATGTTTTTTTTTTGTTGTGTGGCAAAAACCAGTTGCACTGCTTTTTTCTGTCTTTCTGTTTTTCTTTCTCTGTCACTTCCCACTGCATCGAAGGTCATTGCTTGAGTCCGTACACTGATTGAGATGCAGTAGAGACTCCTCGTAGTTAGTCTACACTGTCTCAGTCTGTCTCCACCAAGATTAGCAGTTTGCAGCACTAAGCACTGCACTGCAGAAAGAAATTTGAGATTTTTAAAACTTCCATCATTCACTATTTATCATTATTTCTCTAAGATCTCTTTTCTCCCCTTGCAGCCTCATCGATGTGATAAGTGCCCACAGACATTCAACGTGGAGTTCAACCTCACCCTCCACAAGTCCACACACACCACCTCCGACTTCACCTGCCCTGTGTGCAATAAAAGGTTCTCACGCATCGCCAGCCTCAAATCTCATATCATGCTGCACGAGAAGGAGGAGGTTAGTCACCTCACCAGTCAAACATCAAGTCGTCATGTTTTATTGCTGTACATTTAAAAACAAGTCCCTCATGTGCTTTATCTCCTCTTTTCACCGCTGTGACAACCCCTGCAGAATTTGATCTGTGCAGAGTGTGGAGATGAGTTTGTTCTCCAGAGTCAGCTCTCTCTGCACCTGGAGGAGCACCGCAAGGAGCTGTCGGGCATCAAGGTCTACACCTGCAAGACCTGCGACAAGGAGTTCAAGACGTCTGCGCACCTCAAGGAGCACACGAGGACTCACGTCAAGATGAGGTCAGACGGGGTTTGAGACACTGATTTATTAAATTTGACCAAGTCAAGTGGAGAACTGCTCAGAGTTGAGAGGAAGCATGAATCCTGCAGCTGTTAAAAGGAAGGATGAGGGTCTTGTTCAAGACAATTTACAGTCTGAAGTCTACCACCCTGAGTGTGATGTTTGGATTGTAGCTGCCTGCAATACTTTATATAAGTAATTCACATTACATCCCAAATAAATAATAAGGACACAGTGTATTCTGATCTGCATTATGACTATCAAGGTACTTGAAAATCTTTTAGAGGGGTCTGCAGCTTTGTGAGAACATCTCTTAACAAAGTTTACAGAATGAGACTGATGATGAAGGAATTCTTTGCCTACTAAAGAAACATTTTTTTGAAACAGTGTTTTAGGATAGAAGGATTTAGTTGCTTCCAAGTCCATGTCAGCATCATGGACAATTTGACTAATTTACTAAAATCCTTCCATGATGGAATTAATTCTGTGACCCATTTTGATGCGGAAAAAAAACTAGCTGTGGTCAGGGAACTTCCATCCGATTGCAATAATATTTGCGAACTTCCTGTGGAAACGTACATACCCTGTCAAGGCATTATGTGGAATAAAATGTGGGCTGTAGAGCGTCCTTATTCCTTCTCATGAAGTTAATCCACATTGCAGGCAGTTTTTCCACTAGCACCAGTTTGTAAATGCTCAAATGAGAAAAAGAAAATACCCAAAGAACCGAGAAGGTCAAAGGACATTGATCAATATAAGAAAGAGTAAAAATGTTTAAAAAAGTGATTTGTCTTATATGTCCTCAGCTGATAACGCCACAGACAAGTTAATATGTAAAAACATCACATTAGTAATGAGCACACATCATTTGTTTTTGTTTATCTGTAAAAAACACTTTATATGGTGAAGTTCTAATTTCTTCTTTTGATGCAAAAAGAGGAATGTCTCATACTTAACTTTCAGTCATATTTAGTTAAAATGTCACATGAAAATGTGTTTTTACTTGACTTAAATGTGTTGTGTGACAACAAGCTGCCTTCTAAACACAACGGTCTAAAAGCATTATGTTGAACACTTTGTGCTGTCAGAGCTTCTGATTCATGGGAAAACTACAAGGGTTAAATATTCTGCTAATGATAATAATTATCTGTGATCCTTCGTCAGTTCATGTTATCTCAAACCATTTTGACATGTTTTTGCGTTTCCTCCTTCCTCAGGCCGCTCTCCTCTAGTTCCAGAAACTACAAGAAAAACATTGACCGTAGTGGGTTCACAAACAGCTGCCATCACTGCGGAAAGGCTTTTAAAAAGCCCAGCCAGCTCGTCAGACACATCCGGATACACACAGGTGAGGAACTGAAGCGCTGAACTGAAGCGCTGAACAGAGTCAGGTCAGGCTGGTATGGTTGTAATGGGTGGGAACTCACCCTATAAACCATATAGGTTGTGGGTGCAGCAGGAGATTTTGTGGGTAAGTGGGCAGTGCTGGCACGAAAAGGAGAGTTTGTTTCCTGATTTCAGTTTTTTAATGGCCCCTAAACTGGACTCAAGGCAGCATTATACAATTGGAGTCTCGTGTTTGTCTTTTGAAACTTACTCTGATTGAGTCTCTTCATTCTTCTGGCTCCCTGACATAGCCAACATTAGCACCAACTCCCAGTGTTCGCTGTGTTTAAACCTCCATTTCTGCAGAAGTGTCCGTCTCAGCTCTGTCCATCACTCAGCTGTGATGCGGAGACACTGTGTGGGTAGAATTTAAATATGCTACTAATCTGTTATTCCTGTATTTCTCTGCAGTCGCTCGGCCGCCTGAGTTCAGCCAATGTAGCCAGTAGCCTCCACCCACATGCTGTTTACACATTATCCACATGTCCATTATTTTTCTTTGCTGGCCAACCAGCTGGATGAATAATGGTGGATGAAGTTGATTCCTCTGTGCTTTGAATCTCAAATAGCCCTTAAGCTGATGAAGAGGCTAGACAACACACAAACACACACACAAACCTCACACACGCAAACACAAGATTAAATTCGAGTCTATATTCAGACCTTAAATAATACCAGTGATGGCCTTATGTTGGTGCCATGGTGACAGATTTGCGTAGTTTACTGATAGAAATGTTCAGATATTTCAGGATGAATTACAATAAAAACAGACTCACTGAATTTGTGGAGAATGGTCACAAAACACAGTGTCATGCATTTTCGTCTGGCTCTATGGAGTAAAATGTTTCAAAAATATCACACTTTGTTGAAACAGTAAAGAAGCTGCATACATTTTAGCAAAATACAAACTTTGATTCAGTTTCTTTATAAAATCACAATAATACTGATTTACCACTGCTGGAACCAGCCTCACAGGCTGCTCCAAAAAGGGTGATTTTAACAACAGAGATTGATAACTTAAGGGTACAGTGTGTAGAATTTTGTGATATTCACTGTTGAAGTTGAATTTTGCAGCTGAACACCTCTCACCTCACCCTCTCCTTCCAAACATGAAAAAGAACCTGTGGTAGCTTCAGTTGTCATAAAACCTCAAAAGGTGTTTAGTTTGTCCAGTCTGGACTAATGTAAAAAACATGGCGGCCTCCGTAAAGAGGACCCCCTCAATGTAAATATAAATTTTAAATATAAAGGGCCTTTTCTGGGGTAAAGAAAACTACAATTCATACAATTAAGATGAAACGAACTAGTGAAAACATCATGAGAATTATTCTACATTAAATTTCTGCCAATAGATCCCTTTCACCTAAATCTTACACACTGGACCTTTAAGGGGCTGATTTAGGATCTTAGGAAGCCCCTTGACCAACTATTTTCATTAAGTTGTTATTTAGGCAATTACAAATATCAGTCATCAGACCTCCTTAGCGCATTTTTCTAACCCAACCTCACCCTTCCCTTCAGGTGAGAGGCCCTATAAGTGCTCGCATTGCAGCAAGGCTTTCAACCAGAAGGTGGTGCTGCAGACTCACATGGTGAGACACACTGGAGAGAAACCTCACCTCTGCATGTTCTGCCCTGCTTCCTTCTCCCAGAAGGGGAACCTGCACTCCCACGTTCAGAGAGTTCATTCTGAGGTAAGAGCACAGAGCTGCACATCCAAATACTGAGATTTTTCCATCCTCAAATACTGTGTGGGAAATATCTGTGTTTGATGTGATGCCATCTGTGATTGTTGTGCTGGGTACTATAGCAATAAAACCAGCCACCACAAACAAACTGCTTTTTTTTGCTGTTTTGCAACAGTGGGAAGAGTTTACTTTGGGTACTGGGGGATTTAATTGCTACCAAGTGCACATCCAATTTGAATGTCACAAAGTGTCCATCACTGACTGAAACAGAAAGTACGACTGGTCCACGACTTAAATTCTCTTCCAGTCTCTTCAGAATTCAGCAATTAAAAATGAATCTTAATGATTTGTTATCCATGCTCTGAGTCTAGACAAAATATAAACAATTCAGTCTCACTTCTTTTCATTCCATGTAGCTTTTATTATCTTGGTAGTACAGAGGGGGCATTTATTAATTTATTCAACACGTATCAGATTGCCTTTGTTGAATCAGGATTATGCAGTTTCATTTCTTTTGGGAATTTCTGTAGATACCTGTGAGAGACTTTAGGTCAATGGAACTACACAGATTTTAACTAGCTATATCACTTGATTGATTTAAGTTAATTATACAAGAATTAAAAAAAATAACATTGAACTAGGGCTGATGCATGATAGACCTATCATAAAAGATGGCAAAAACTGTGTTTAAATCGTGTTCCATTCACGCTCTGCATTTCAATGTATTTTCAGATGGGGCCCTGCTGCCTTATATGATAAATTAGATCATTTTTGGAAGAAGAGAAAAGAGAGAATTTGAAAACAGAACACACACACATTCACACTCTGCTGCTCTGTGTGTTTCTTTCTCTCCCTTTTACGTGTCATTTAAAAAAAAAATCTCTCTCTCTCTCTCTCAGCTGATGTCTCTGACACGCTGCAGTTTAAAAGTTGATTTGTTTGGCGCCACAATATTAACACTGATCATCACATAATGATCAATACTTTTATGATCTTTGTTCAGAGCAGCGCCTCAATCAGCCGTCGGGCTCGCTCTTTTCCTCTCTCTCTCTCTCGTGCTTGCTCTCTGTACCACACAAACACTGTGTTTGGACACATGTGTAAACTAAATCTGGGCAAAACAACTTTGTAAGCTTAGTTAATGCATGGAGCTGGAGGTTTGGTTTGACGCAGTTGACGCAGCGCACAGCGCTAATGACACAGAGGAGCAGTAAACTACTGACAGAGCTGCTGAAAAAAATAACTTTTCCCGGGTCAATACATTTATGAAAAGACCCCAAATAAACACTGTAAGTGGACTTAGTGGGGCTGCAGCCGGGCTGTGTGCCTTCTCCCAGATGTGGAGCTGTCTGTGGTCTCTGGGTCTGTAGCCATGAATTTTTTTTGATTATTTATCGCAAGTCCTATCGTCATTGCAATATTAAACTACGCTATGGCATATCGCATGTTTTCCTAATATCGTTCAGCCCCACATTAAACACAATTCAAACTATGTGACTCACTGTATTTATAACATTTATCTGTATTCATTGAGGAAAAGTGTGATTTTCAGTCCTGACAGTTGTGAAGATTAGATTCTTCAAATACAGAGTTGATGCAGTGTCTGGCTCTGCTGAAAGTGACACTAGAACCATAATTCTGCAATAACTCACTGACATAAAATATACATTTTGTAGACAGTTTCTTCGAAGAGCTTTCCTGTCCACACTGCAAACGACACCAGCATGGAATACTCTCTATGTTGCAGAGATAGAAAGACAGAAGCAGCTGTTGGGACAGGTTGGCTCTTTTCAGTGTCTTCAGAAAGTACAGTGATTGTTTAGGAAGTGCTGCGTGAGGTCCTGGGAGATGAATGCGCCTAGAAATTTGAAGGAAAACACCCTCTTTACTGTCTCCCCTGATGTGTAATGGAGCAGGTTCCCCACTCTTGTTTGCTGAAGTTAATTATCATCTACTTTGTGTGGAGATGTTAAGTGCCAGGTCGTTAATGATGCACCATTCTGTCAATATGCAGACTTAATCCCTGTAGGCAGACTCATATTGTGTATTGTCGATTGTGGATCAACCCAATCACAGTGGTGTCATCCGCAAACTTCTTAAGGGAAAACAGAAGACTAGTGAATGCTGCAGTTTGGGGTTTGGTTGTAAAGTTATTCCTGATCATATTAAGCCGACAGGAGAGGAAGAAATGTAAAGCTTAAAGGTCTTAAAGGGATAGTTCCCTGAAAAATGAAAGATTCACTTATTATCTCCTCACCACTGTGCCTATGGAGGGGTGGGTGAAGTGTTTGAGTCCACGAAACACTTCTGGAGTCTCAGGGGTAAACAACGTTGCATAAAAAGGACATATTGGTGAGTAGATAATGAGTGAATTTAAAATGTTTGGTGAACTATCCCTTTAAGACAGCGAATAACGTAAAATTGTCTCAGGTTATTAGTTAATATGAAATGCTGTTCATTATGCACATGTCATGTCAAATACTTTCCATACTGATTATGAGGCTTTTGTAATTCACTATTTCTTTTGCTCTGGTTGCTGTACCTGACATTTCAGCAGGACACCTTGCCATATTGTTTGTCCGTTGGAAAGGGAATGAGGAAATGAAATTGTACTTCTTTGTTCCTCATTTGGCTTTTTTCCTTTTGTTAGCACTTTACAGCAGCCCTGCTGATTTATTCGTCCTAATTTAGCCTGCACTTTGGTCTCTAATGGTGTTCTGTCACCGAGGTCACTTGGTCTCTGTGCCAAACTATGGTCGAGGTCGAAAGCATAGCACACATCAAAGTCCTCCCTAGCAGGTACCTAAATGTTCACGTTGATAGATAATGAATTCTCCTGTGTGGTCCATTGTAGGGTTTGTTAACAAAGCCTGTCATAGGCTGGATATATAGTGATGGAAGCAGCTCCTGCTGTAAGACTGCTTTCACTAATGTGGCTACAGTCTGGACTGGCTCAGCTTCCTGGCAGCCTGATTGTAAAGCAACACACAGGAGGCGCAGTGGGACCTCCATCATAATCCACAACATTATGTACTTTTGCATTTAAGCACAAAATATCACATTGTGCTTGCACACCAATTGTGTTCAGTACAGGTAGCAATTGAGAAATACATTTGGATTTTGTATGTCAGTGAGTAAGTTTTAATAACCGACCTCTGTGTTTGCATTAGTTTAAGCCAGGTGTACCCGAGGGAATGACAAATGAGAACATCTCTAGCGGTTGTATTTTCCTGCATTTATTAAGGCCATATATATAAGCATGCTAGAGTTACATTATTCTAGTAAATACATTCTACAATAAGAGGTGGAGGAGCTTGTCAGAGAAGCTGCCGTAGATGTGCGGGATCAGAAAGACAACATGAATAGTTTACTCTAAATCCTACTAAAGAGGGGAAGCTGAAAGTAGCAGGTAGAATTTCAGGCAGAACTTGGTTATTCAATTTTTTCATGCTAAGCAGGTTCAAAGTATTCGACCTCAGGGGACATAAATCCTTTAGCTTGGTTCATGTTAACAAGTAAAAACAAAATGCAAAATCCCTTGAAACGATGATATCAAGGTAAGAAGATTCCTGAAAATACACATGCTGGTTCTTTGATTTGGATTACTAATAATCCCTCATGCTTTGAATGTTTATTCACTAAATTATCTAAACTCAAACACCGGTAATCTGAAATATATAAATGAGAAAGTAAAAATCACGAGTTTGACAATTTTACCATAAGCAAGAAACATCAGTGAGGCAGTGTCAACCCAAACAACCAATCAATCAAGCTTTTAGTCAAACTTAATTTGTAAAGCACCTCTCATACAGGTTACTGCCGTTCAAAGTGTTTGAAAGAAGAGCCAATAATATACA